GGCAATCAGGCGCCCACCTGGAGAGCAAGGGAATACATTTCAAGTTTCGGCAATCAGGCACCCACCTAGAGAGGAAGGGAATACAGTTGAAGTTTTGTCAATCAGGCGCCCACCTAGAGAGCAAGGGAATACAGTTCAAGTTTCGGCAATCAGGCGCCCACCTGGAGAGCAAGGGAATACCGTTCAAGTTTCGGCAATCAGGTGCCCACCTGGAGAGTAAGGGAATATAGTTCATGTTTCGGCAATCAGGCGCCCACCTGGAGAGCAAGGGAATACAGTTGAAGTTTTGGCAATCAGGCGCCCACCTGGAGAGCAAGGGAATACAGTTCAAGTTTTGGCAATCAGGCTCCCACCTGAAGATCAAGGGAATACAGTTCAAGTTTCGGTAATCAGGCGCCCACCTGAAAAGCAAGGGAATACAGTTAAAGTTTTGGCAATCAGGTGCCCACCTGGAGAGCAAGGGAGAACAACACTAGTTTTAAGGAAAGGAAACAATTTAAGTGTCGGTAATCAGGAGCCCACCTGGAGAACAAAGCAACTCAAAGTATTGGTAATCAGGAGCCTACCTGGAGAATGAAGGGAAATCAGCAATATTCAAAGGAAGACGGTTCAAGTTCAGCAATCAGGCGCCCGTCTGAAGAAAAGGGAAAGCATCTCAGACTACAATTCAAGTCAGCAATAAAGGGATTTCACCTGGAGAATACAAGTCAACAAGGCAACAGGAATCACAAGATCAAGCTTGAAGATATAGATAGGAATCTTGTAACCTGTAGTTGACAGGCTTAATTAGTTTTTCTTATAGTGATTTTGATGTAATAACAGGATCGCTGACCGGAACCTCGGCGGAACGGCACCTCGACGGCTCTCCACCTCGGTATACTCCATCATCTCACTCACCTCTGAACTACACGTGGCCTGATTCCTTTATAGCCAAGGATATGTAGGCAGCTCAGATACCAGGGCTCGATCACATTCCCCTTTCTCTTAGCTTTGATCTCCCAAATAAGGGTCGGGTCAAAAAACCTGTCTAGTCGTTCTTTGTCCGAAAATACTTCGTATTTCCAGTCAAAGAGGGACAGCTGTAGACATGTGATTTTTGACCCTCCCCAAGATTTTTCATATTTTAGCATGTAAATATTTAATTTAGGCTTAATATAGCTATTTCAACTAATTTTTACGCTTTTACTTTATTTTTATTACAAGAGAAATGAAAATTACAAAAATTATTCCATTAATGTTTGTTATTCATTTTTAACCTTGAAAAATACAAAAAAAAATAGTTTGTTTTAATGGTTAGTCTTATTTTAACAGTAGGACTAATTAATAAATAAGGTCGTATTTTAGTCCCGTTCGCGGAGAAGTATAAAACTAGGGCTCGAGCAACCCATTTTTAGATCTAATTTTGGACCTAGCCCATAATTCCCAAGCCCATAATTCCTAGGCTCATACCCCTAACCTAATCCCTACCCCTATATATAGTATCTAACACCTAAAATAAAAGACACCTAAAAACCTTCACATCTGCCGTTTGAGGAACCAGCCATTCTTCTTCATTTTTTCATAACCTAGAACACACCTTAAGACCAAATACAAATTAAAGGAAGCAAAATTTTTTTTTTCCCTTATGCTTGAGATTTAGAAATAAAAATACAAAAAATATATTACTATTTCTTCCTTTTGATTTCAAATTGGGTTTCAAAACAATGAAATTTAAATGAATAGAGGGAGCTAAGAGCAAAGAACGGACATAGAGAATTCGGAGGACAGAGCAACGGAGCGATAGGGGGCGGCAATGATTTTCAGTCCAAAAACAGGTCCAAAATCAGAGTTACAAAACCCCTAGCGTCGCCTCTTCTCTGATTTCCACTAAAAACACCACCAATACAATACCAAGCGCAAAACCAATCGAACCTGACCATCCTCCAAACTCTAGCACCACCAAACACCATAGCTGATGAGCTCTAATCGATTTCATTCTCTCGAAAACTCCGTTTCATACTGAGTCGAGGTTGCCGACGAGTTCACGGTTCAAGCTAGTCCCTGTTTTCATTTCCCAGTAGCATCTAGCTCACCAAAGTTTGCAGTAATTGAATTTCGCTATTTAAAAAGGCAAGCAGGTGAGGTTAATTTTTTACTTTTCTATTCCATTTTTATCATTATACATATATTTTTGTGTATTACTCTGCCTCACTTATATTTATACGATGAATGTTATTAGTGTATCAAAATGTTTAATCATGTTTAAGAGGAGAAAGAATGCATGTTGCTTTGTAGTTGTTGTTTTGGGATTTGATTATTTAATCTTAAATTGGTATTTGTAAATCAATCCATCTCAAAGGCATTGAAGTGGGCCGTGGGCAATCTGGCTATGAAAATATGAAGCCTTCGTTAGTTTTGGGTAAATTGAGCAATCAACGGCTTTTAGCTACGATTTAAAAAAAATAATTTGTTTATTTAGATGGAGCGTGCCATATTAGATAACACAAATAGTTTATGGCCCTTATAATTTTAAAATAAGGAATTTTTAGACAATTAGATTTGAGGCGTGCCATATTAAGTAAGATATAGTTTATGGCCTACAAAAGCTTAGTTTGAGTTTCCTTTTAAAATTGGAATTAAGGCGTACCATGCCTAATAAAATTCCTAACTCATGGCCCTCACTTAATTAGTTTTAACTCTTTAGAAATCGAGGTGCGCCATCAGTTGAATTTTCCATGGCCCTCGCAAACCTTGTTGTTAACTTGAAAGTGCGTAGTTGCTTTAGGCTCGCTACTTAAATTGATTTCCTTATTTATTAAACTCGGGTGTGCATTCATGTGACCCAACTCCAATTCTCAACAACGTTAAATAAAATGTGTCGTGGACCGCAGGTGCATTTCATGTGGCGTGGTTCAAGGCGTGTTTTAAATAACATTGAATTTTCCCAAAAATGATTAAAGGTAGCTCATAAGTTATAATATACCATAGGCTAAAACATGTATTAAAATTAGATAATAGGACAATTATAACAGTTGAGCGACCGTGCTAAAACCACGGAATCCGGGAATGCCTAACACCTTCTCTAGGATTAACATAATTCCTTACCCGAATTTCTGTGTTCGCAGACTGTAAAACAGAGTCAATCTTTCCTCGATTCGGGATTTGAACCGGTGACTTGGGATACCGTAAATTATCCCAAGTGGCGACTCTGACTTTTTAATAAAATGATCACGTTTCAATTGTCACTTTAAGTTGGAGAAAACTCCCTTATATACCCTTCCGGAGGTGTAGGAAAAAGGAGGTGTGATAGTTAGAATTGCTTAAGGACTATGATATCACCATTTTATATCATCTCGGGAAGGATAATGTGATGGTCGATGCCTTGAGTCATAGGGCGGAGAGTTTGGGCAATCTAGCATATCTACCAGCAGCGGAGAGGCCATTAGCATTGGATGTTTAGGCTTTGGCCAATCAGTTTGCTAGACTAGATATTTCTAAGCCGAGCCGAGTTTTGGCTTGTGTGATTTCTCAGTCTTCTCTTTATGATCGTATCAGAGAGCATCAGCATGATGACCCTCATTTGCTTGTCCTTAAGGACATGGTTTAGCATGGTGATGTTAAGGAGGTCACTATTGGAGATGATGATGCACTGAGGATGTAGGGCAGGCTATGTGTGCCTAGTATAGATGGTTTGTATGAGTTGATTCTCCATGAGGCTCATAGTTCGTGGTACTCCATTCATCCAGGTGCCGCAAAAATGTATCAAGACTAGAGGCAGCATTATTGGTGGAGGACAATGAAGAAGGACATAGTGAAGTATGTAGTTCGGTGCCCAAATTGTCAGCAGGTGAAGTATGAGCATTAGCATTTGGGTGGATTGCTTCAGAAGCTAGAGATTCTAGAGTGGAAATGGGAGCAGATCACTATGGATTTTATGGTTAGGGTCCCACGGACTCATAGGAAGTTCGATGCAGTTTGGGTTATTGTGGATAGGTTAACCAAGTTGGCTCATTTCATTCCAGTGGTGACTATTTATTCTTCTGAGCAGTTGGCTCGAGTTTATATCTGCGAAATTGTCAAGCTTCATGGAATGTCGATATCTATCATCTCTAATCGGGGTATGTAATTTACATCGCGGTTTTGGAGAGTCGTACAGCATGAGTTAGGTACTCGAGTTGAGTTGAGCACAGCATTTCACCCTCAGCCGAACGGACAGTCCGAGCGCACTATTCAGATATTAAAAGATATGCTCTATGCATGTGTGATGGAGTTTGGCGGTTCTTGGGAACAGTTCTTTCCACTTACGGAGTTTGCCTACAACAACAGCTACTGGTTGAGCATTTAGATGGCCCTGTATGAAGCTTTGTATGGTAGACGGTGTCGGTCTCCAGTGGGTTGGATCGAGCCAGGCGAGGCTAGGCTATTGGGTATAGACTTGGTTTAGTATGCCTTGTAAAAGGTTAAATTGATTCAGGATCGACTTTGTGCAACCCAATCCAGACAGAAGAGTTATGCATACCGGAAGGTTTACGACGTTGTATTCATGGTTAGGGAGCGGGTCTTGCTTCGAGTTTCGCCCATGAAGGGTGTTATAAGGTTCGGAAAGAAGGGCAAGTTGAGCCCTAGGTATATCGGGCCTTTTGAGATTCTTGAGAGGGTTGGAGAGGTGGCTTACAGACTTGCACTACCACCTAGTCTAGCTGTTGTTCATCTAGTATTCAATGTTTCTATACTCCGAAAGTACCACGGCGATCTGTCTCATGTTTTAGACTTCAGCTCAGTCCAGTTGGACAAGGATCTATCTTATGTTGAGGAGCCGATGGTTATGTTGGACAGGCAGGTTCGAAAGTTGAGGTTGAAGAACATTGCTTCAATGAAGGTTCAGTTGAGGGGTCAGCCAATTGAGGAGGTGACTTGGGAGATCGAGCATGATATGTGTAGCCATTATCCTCATCTTTTTACCATTTTATGTATGTCTCTATACTCGTTCGAGGACAAACGTTTGTTTTAAAAGAGGGGATGTAACGACTCAGTCGGTCATTTTAAGAGTATAAGCCCCGAGCCCCTATTTATTGCTCTATATGTTTCACTTTGTGGTTATTGACTTGCCAGGGTGCTTGGTGTCGGGTTCGGGAGAATTTCGGAGTAGAATGGAACACATAGTCCTTAAATTGGAAGTTTAAGTCATAGGAGTTGACCGTAGTTTGACTTGTGTGAACACTACTCCATAATGGACTTTCATCGATTCCAATAGCTTTGTATGGTGATTTTGGTCTTAGGAGCGTGTCAGGTGTTGATTTGAAGGTCCGTAGGTCATTTCGATGTTAATTGGCAAAAGTTGGAAAGTTAGAAGATTTTTGGAAAGTTTGACCGGGAGTGGACTTTTTGATATCGGGTCAGATTTTGATTCCAGAAGTCAAAATAGATCCATAATGTCAATTATGACTTGTGTGCAAAATTTGAGGACAATCGGACGTGTTTTGATAGGTTTCAGCATCGGATGTACAAGTTAGAAGTTCAAAGTTCATTAAGCTTGAATCGATGTGCATTTCGTGGTTTTGGTGTTGCTTGAAGTGATTTAAGGGCTCGACTAAGTTCGTATGATGATTTAGGACTTGTTGGTATATTTGGTTGAGGTCCCGGGGCCTCGGGTGCGATTCGGATCGTGATCGGTTCATAGTTTGGAAGCTCCCAACTTCTCGTGTAATTGCCCCTGCGGAGGTTATGACCGCGGGTGTGTACGCGCACGTGCGCTTAAGTGAACGCAGAAGCAGAGAAGGCAGCCCAGGCAAGGGCTCACAGATGCGGATTTGCTTCTGCGGTGAGGTGATGCGCAGAAGCGACTAAGGTCACAGGTGCGAAACAATTGTCGCAAGCGCGCACGCACAGGTGTGGCCCTTTGCTCGCAGAAGCGGACGCTGGGGATTTAAGTGAAATCCGCACCTGCAATAATCAGTGAGGTCGCAGGTGCAACACTACTGGGTAGAAAAAGGGGGGAAACGAGGGTTTGATTTCTTCCCTTTGAGACTTTGTGAGCTCGGATTGAGGCAAGATTTTAGGGGATTTTCAAAGAAAGCATTTGGATAAGAATTCTTGACTCATTTTTTGTATAAATCCTATGAATCTATTGTTAATTACACCTTATAATTTGTGTTTTGGAGTTGAAAATTAGGGGGGAAGGTGTAAGGTTCTTAGACCGAATTTGTGAGTTTTGAAAGACGAAATGAGCTCCAATTTGAAAAATTCTTGTATGGTTGGACTCAATATCGAATGAGTATTCGATTTTTATAATTTTGGTTGGGTTCTGAGATGTGGACCTGGGTTGACTTTTGGGGGCGATTTTCTAATGCTTTGCAAAATTCATAATTTCATTATCTAGATTAGTTTTACTATAGTTATATTTATAGTATGTAATTGCTTTGGACCAGATTTTAGTCGTTCGGAGTCGAAAAGTTGAGGGAAAGGCCTTCTTATTGATTGATTGAGTGAAGTTTAAGGTAAGTGACTTGTCTAACCTTGTGTGGAAAAAATTCCCTTAGGATTTGGTAATGTTATGGTAATTTGCTATATGTGAAGGCCGTGTATATAAGGTGACGAGTGCGTACACGGGCTAAGTGTTGGAAATTTCGATTTTTGCTAAGTAATTTCCTTTTTATGCCTTAACTAGGTTACTTTAGCACGTGTAGTCATCAATTTTAGCCTAATTTCACATGTTTGCTTGCCTTATCCCTTATTTGCAATTTATGCTACATGCTTAATTGAATTACCTACTTTCTTGATGCCATATTCATTATTTTAAATGTGGGATTCCTTGCTTGAAATATCATTGTTTCAATTGCTATGTTTTGGTTTTCGTAATTATTGTTGAGGTGATTGTTTGGTTGTGGCACGAAGTTTCTACCATGCGGATTGTTATTGTGGCACGAGGTTTCTGCCGTGCGGATTGTTATTGTGGCACGAGGTTTCTGCCGTGCGGATTGTTATTGGGGCACAAGGTTTCTGCCGTGCGGATTGTTATTGTGGCACGAGGTTATATTGTAGCACGAGGTTTCTACCGTACGGATTGTTATTGTGGCACAAGGTTTCTTCCATGCGGATTGTTATTGTGGCACGAGGTTATATTGTAGCACGAGGTTTCTACCGTACGGATTGTTATTGTGGCACAAGGTTTCTTCCATGCGGATTGTTATTGTGGCATGAGGTTTCTGCCGTGTGGTTATTATTATAAGGAAATATTGAGAGATATTTACTTTTGGGACTACGAGGCGGTACCTCGGGAGTGCCCCTGCTAATTTTCTCTAGTTGTTGTATTTGTGTTGTTGTTTTCCTTAACTTGTAAGATTCCTGCTTCCTTACGTGTTGTATTTGTCTTCTTTGAATTCCGTGTTGTTACTTCCCGTACATTCTTATTATTTCATTTCCCTGCCATTTTATTATATCATTATATCTTTTGCCTTGTTTCTCATTATTTTCTAGTAGGGCCTTGACCTGACCTCGTCACTACTCTACCGAGGTTAGGTTTGGCACCTACTAGGTATCGTTGTGATGTACTCATGATACGCTTTTGCACATCGTTTTATGCAGATCTGGGTACCTCCTACCTGTCCGACACCAGGGAGGCGAGCTCAGTTCGAAGACTTCAAGGTATACATGTCGGCGTCCGCAGGCCTTGGAGTCCCCTTCTTTCATGTTCTCTTTTTTTATTTCCTTTTTACCTTATAGACAGTGATGCATAGGAGCGTTCCACACTGTATCTAGAGCTTGTGACTTGTATTTCACCGAGTTTTGGGATTTGTACATATTGAGTTGCAGTCTTCATTTATATAGATGTTGATGTTTGATATTTAAGTTAATTTCAGTTATTCCGCATATTTGTTAGGCTTACCTAGTCTTAGAGACTAGGTTTCGTCACGACAACCTACGGAGGGAAATTTTGGTCGTGAGAGTTTTATTCATATATTTAATATGAGTAACCGCAGGATTACAATAAAAATAAATAGTACTACTGTCTATAAGATCTCTATGACACGAAATGAAATAGTCAAGTAGGAACTCAAAAGAATAGTAATAAAATCTCACCAAAAGTAACAACTGGAGATGTGGAGTTGTCTTATCCACGGGGCTTGAGCTGCTCAGGTCTAGTCCCTGAATACATGTCACGACCTCAATTTCCCTTTGTAGGATGTCGTGATGAAACCTACTCTCTAAGACTAGGTAAGCCTAACAATCATGCAGAATATAACTATAACAACAAATAAACTCTCAAATACTCAACATCTGTATAGAATAAACTACGCTGCTCAACATATACAATTTCCCCAAAAGCTGGTGATATCGAGTCACAAGATCTACAATGGTATCATAGTCATCCCTATACAATTATATCTAATAAAAGAAGGAAAAATATAGAAATAAATAGAAGGTGACTTCGAGGTATGAGAACGTCGGCAGGTGTACCTTGAAGTCTCCAAGTACGAACTCAGCTCACTGATGCCGGGACTGGTAAGAGGTACCTAGATCTACACAAAAGATGTGCAGAAGCATAGAATTAGTACACCATAATGGTGTCAAGTAAGTACCAAGCATAACCTCGGTAGAGTAATGACGAGGTTAGATCAGTGCCCTACTGGATTTAAACAAGAAAAACTGTTTGAGTATATGGCAGTGTAGAAATAATAGACATGAAATTGAAATAACAAAATAGCACATTAAGGTTAGCTACACGGAACTAAAGAAAATTATGCAACACGGAGAAACAAGGGATGATATGTTAAGGAAACAAAACAACCAAAGACAAGTGCAGCCAAAGAGGAAGACTAACAAGAGTCACTATTGAGGTACCGCCCCGTAGTCTCAAATCACAAGAATAAATCACAACTTTTCCTTATAGCACTACGGGAGCCTTGCATTTAGTTTTAAAAATTATTTTTCCCGAAATAGAATCCCGTATTTTAGCCTCCTTATCGCACCTCATGGCTTCTAGTAGTTCCCCTACTAGCCACGCGTATCAAGCCTACCTTATCTCACCGCACGTATTTCAACCCCAAAACCTCATACCACTGTATGCGTATCAATATTATAACGTATCACAAATCGCACCCAATATCACAACTTGCCAAAAAATCAACAATAACAGTACTTTCACAATAGGGAGCCCATGGATCAACCACAATATACACAAAGGCTCAACAATAACAACCGGAAGTGAATAACTACAGAATAGTATTTCACAATTTAATACTTTGCCTCAATGTGAATCACGGCCTTTATAACTCAATACCAATTTCAACAGCAAGATATTCCAAGAATGACAACTTCAAGTAAGGAGTTCAACGGTTAAATGATGAATACGGAATAAAGAAAACAAGAACTTCAACTAAACATGTGGAGCAATTAGCAAGTAAGAGATAAGACAAGTAGAACAAGTGAAAGTAGACTAATGATACAAATATAACATGATAAGATAACTCAATTAAGGCATGAAAGGAAATTACATAGCTAAAATCGATAATTTTCATAGTTAGCCAGTGCACACGCTCATCACCTTGCATATACGGCTTTCACACATCACAGTTATCACAAACAACAATAATCCTAAGTGGTAATTCCCCCACACAAGGCAAGACACTTACCTCAAATCATGCTAACTCAATCCACTAATAAGTCTTTCCCTCGCTTTTCCAACTCCGAACGGCTAGAATCTAGCCAAAATAACTTTATACTATAAATATAAACTATAGGAAACTATTTCGAACAATAAAATTACAATCTTTGCAAAGAAATAAAAAGTCAGCTCAAAAAGTCAACCCTGGCCTGCGTCTCGGAACCCGATTAAAATTACAAAATTCGAATACCCATTCAATAATAAGTCCAACCATATAAGAATTACTCCGACCTCAAATCGCTTTTCAAATCCCCAAATTTTAGCCTAAGAAGTTTCACAATTTTTTTCCCAAATTTCCAACTCAAAACACTAATTAAATGATAAAATTAACAATAGGTTCGTATAATTTAACCAAAATCGAGTTAGAAATTCTTACCCCAATGATTTCCTTGAAAATCTCCCAAGAAATCACCTCACACCAAACTCTCTAATTCCAAAAATGGATTATGAAATCAAACTCTCGAACAAGACCTTTCTGCCCAGTGACCCTAGCTTCTACGGGCCTGGGGTCACACCTGCGACGCTGCACCTGCAGAAAATCCATCGCAGGTGCGGTTCCAACTTAAATCCAGGAGTTCCGCTTCTGCGAACAAAAGCTCGCACCTGCGAGCCCGTTTCTGCAGAGAAACGACCGCATCTGTGGTCACGCCCAAAGCTACTCCCCAAATTTCGCTTCTCCTAAGGCAGCCTCCGCATCCGCGAGTCCGCTTCTGCGGACAAATGACCGCACCTACGGTCCTAGTTGGGCAAGGCAAATTTCGCTCCTATGGATCAAAGGAGGCTTATGGTGCCTCACCTGCGACCCAAAATGCGCAGGTGCGATTGCACCAGACACAGCCCAGCTTCAGCAATCATAGAAGTCCAATTTTGATCCGGATTCAATCTATTTCACACCCGGGACCCTCTGGACCCCGTCTGAATATACCAACAAGTTTCAAAACATATAACAAACCTACTCGAGGCCAAAAATCACGTCAAACAAAATCGATTCTATGAATTGCATCCCAAAGTCAAGCCTATGAAAATTATGAACTTCCGAATTTTGAAACCAACGTCGATTCATACCAAAACAACTCCGATTAACTTCAAATTTTGCACACAAGTCATAAATGACATGAACGGCCTATTCTAACTTTCGAGTCGGAATCTAACCCTGATATCAATAAAGTCAACTCCCGATCAAACTTTTCAAACCTTCAACTTTCCAACTTTCGCCAATTCATGCCGAAACAACCTTCGGACCTGCAAATTCATATTCTTACACGCTCCTAAGTCCAAAATAACCATACAAAGCTATTGGAATCGTTAAAACTCTGTTCCGGAGTCGTCTACGTAAAAGTCAAACTAGGTCAATTCTTTCAACTTAAACCTCCAACTTAGGGACTATGTGTCCTATTTCACTCTGAAACTCACCTAAAACCAAAACCAAATACCCCGATAAGTCTCATAACCACAATATAGCACAGAGGAGGCAGTAAATAGGGGATAGGGACTAAAATACTCGAAACAACCATTCAGGTCGTTACAATACATAAATAAAATTTAACTATGGGCCTAAGCTCCAAATGCCTAGTACGAATCATGAACCATTTTTTCAAAAAGAAATGGGACAAGATCAAGGAAATATGAAATATGCATAAATAATTGATATAAAAAAGAATATTTATATCAATTAATATGTAGATAATGTAAAACATACTTCAAAGTCTTTCTTTCGCATAAGCTTTAACAAAATCAAGTAAGATTTTTCATCTTACCGGGAGTACTATACCATCACCGATATTAAAAAAAAATAACTAGGTTATATACCTAGTGATAAGTATTATATACCTTACTTGCTCAGGTTGTCTCATTGTTGTGCCGCACGAACCGACTTAATTCTGCTAATAAAGTAGCATAATAATACCTCCCTCATGGGACGTACTCTACCATAGTTTCAAACCGTAAAGTAGGTTGCACGCCTACATCGGCACGTCTAGTTTCATAACCTAATGAGGAAAAGTATCCAAGGCCAATCTCGATAAACTCAAATAACTCCCAGAAATAATTACAATCACCCTTTGGTATTCATAGCCAAATCAACCATGTGTGAAAAGATTAAATATAAAGTATTTTTTTACAAATCCTGTGTTTCTATTTAACAATATATCAGAAGTGTTATTCCTTTTTATTTAGTTTTTAAAACCAAAACAATGTTACATTTCAAAAAATAATATTAATAGCACTTAAATATTTTACGATGCAAGAGATGGTGCAATTACAACTCGCTCGCCCCCACAGTTAGGACTCATATTTAGAATATTTCTAAATCACATTTCTATATGAGTTTAGAAAAAAGCTCCGAGTGTAGTAAATTCAACGTACCTCAAATTGCTTTTCAAATCTTGCCCCCAATGTATCAATGACGCCAACAATTCATAATCTACATATATGACTCACACGTATCAACAAAGTAATCCAGCGATATCAATCTAATCCACAAGGAACCCAACACTTAGATTAAATTCTTCAAGCTTACTAAATTAACCCCCTTCAGTGATATTGCATATAATCGCTTTACGAACCTCAACAATGATGTTACTATACCTATTTGGATCATATAAACCTATATTAAAGTCCTAATATTACCATTCATTATCCCTTTTACCAACCACCTAATACCATTAATGTCAAGTTAGATTATACATTTATGACCGCCATTCACCAACCAATACTCCCAAATATCTATTCATATCATAAATACTCATAAACAACTCAAAGATGCCATAGAAAGTTAGAATATACCTCTTGGTGAAACCCTAAACAATTTCTCTTAAGTGTTCTTGGTGGATTTCAAGAATCTAAACAAATTTCATGTTGATTAGGATAATCCAATTAAATACTTGTATGGAATACAAAATAACTCAAGGAACTTACTTTGATTAGTGAGGTTGAAACCTATGAGGAGAGGGTGGAGAGGAGTTCCATCACTTGGTCCCAAAATAAGGCAAGCAATGGCTGCCCCTACTTGCTTTCGAAGATTTCAGGTGATTGTTACAGGTAGAGCCTTGATATACTTACAGCGCCAAAAATATGCTCTAGACTAGGCGCGAAAAGTGGTGTCTAGTGCCCAATTGGGCGCTAAACGTTGCTACCAAACATTCTTCAGTTCAATAACCATAGCTTTTAGTATCGGTGTCCAAAT